TTGGTTTGGTTTGGTTTAGTATTGTTTAACGTCCTATCAACAGCTATGGTCATTTAAGGACGGCAGAGAGACGTCACAAATATGTTCATCTTTCTAGGTCGTTGTTTTTTAATCCTTTCACTTGTTGTAAAGCATATATATGCAATACTAGCCTTATTTTCTTAATTAAATAAATACTTCATATTATATAAACCACGTACATATCGCGAATTTATCATAAGTAATATCATATCTCTCATTTCCACACAGTCATTTCACGATAATATAGTCATATATCAAAATGTAAACACCATAATTACGTCCCTTCAACTCTCTGAAGACTAAATTGTGTTTTGACATTTAACTACGAATCGCTATGATTGAATTGTTCTGTTATCTCATTTTAATACCCTAGCGTACCTCTGATACACTATCAGTGTGGACTTTCACATCCGTCAACACAAAACCTGTACCGCAGCGTAACGTATCATGGTGTTAGGTAGATCTCCTTTACATTTTAATTTTTTATTTGCTTACGCATTATATAAAGACATTGTATTGTTATATGGGAAATACAACACCGCTTAAGGTTTAGAAATACTTTTTTACAACGATTAGGATGACCAATTAACGTAGGAAATCCCGCCACATATTCCGGTGTTGACTAACGACGGGCTGCAATGACAATAACTGGATTTTTTTCTGTTTTGGTGTTATTTCCCAGCTAATTTTGCATTAATAACGTTCCGGGTCCAACATTGTGAAGATTGTCAACTTGAGTATCACTTTCAGATATAAACCTCTGCATGTTAATCGTAACAGGCGGCTAATATTATTTTGCTTTCGGGGCATCGAAGAAAAAAAATAGATCTACTGCCCCCACCCACATGACAGTAGTTGTGATCTCTACCCTTTCTTATAGGCATCCGTCTTGTGTCCCCCTGAAAATATGGATTGTTTGTTCTTCTCCCTTCCCTCCTTCCTTAACTTATTTAACGAAACGTGCGTATTATCAGTCTAGGATTCTATTATTCTTTAATATAGTAAAAAAAACTAGTGAATGGCCAACGAAAAAGGAGTCCGCTAACCCCACCCTCTTTGATCCGCCGCGGGTCTCTCCGTATCGCCGCGATGACCGGGTGGTAAAGCCGTCTGCCCGTATACAATCACTAGCCCTCAACCATTGGGTCGCGGGTTCGAGGGCTACGTTGTCAGTCACCAGGTAATAATCGTCGCAGGTTGGCGGTTTTTCCGGGTACTCCGGCTTTCCTCCACCATCAAAATCTGGCTTGTCCTTAAATGACCATAGCTGTCAATAGGACGGAAGACACACACGTACCAAACAAGCTCTCCGTATTATTGGAAAACAAAGTACCTATGGAGGGTAAACGAGGGGAGACATTCTACCATAGCATTGTCATTAACATACATTTCGCCGCTTTTAGAATTGTAAGTTTAGTTAATTCAGTTCGAGTTTTAGATCCGTTTCACAAGTACCACTACGAGGCTTCCGTATAAAGCCAAGTGTTCAGTGTTGTAAATATTTATAATATCCTGGATCGTGATGGTGTGACAATCATGGGCGTAATATGAATAAGTGAGATTATTATTGGTTGATATACTCACCCCGTGGTTATCTCGGTTTAGGTTATATCTATTTCTGTTTACACTGAAACCCTGGACACTTTGGTTTGTGTGTACAGTAGAACCTTGTTAGTCTAGACACTTTGGTTGGTGTGTACAGTAGAACCTTGTCAGTCTGGACTCTTTGGTTTGTGTGTACAGTGGTATCTTGTTAGTCTGGATACTTTGGTTTGTGTGTACAGTGGTACCTTGTTAGTCTGGTCACTTTGGTTTGTGTGTATAGTGGTACCTTGTTAGTCTGGACACTTTGGTTTGTGTGTATAGTGGTACCTTGTTAGTCTGGACACTTTGGTTTGTATGTATAGTGGTACCTTGTTAGTCTGGACACTTTGGTGTGTGTTTGTGTACAGTTGAAGCTTGTTTGTCTGGACCCTTTGGTGTGTGTGTACAGTGGTACCTTGTTAGTCTGGACTCTTTGGTTTGTGTGTACAGTGGTACCTTGTTAGCCTGGACACTTTGGTTTGTGTGTATAGTGGTACCTTGTTAGTCTGGACACTTTGGTGTGTGTTTGGGTACAGTTGAAACTTGTTTGTCTGGACACTTTGGTGTGTGTGTACAGTGGTACCTTGTTAGTCTGGATACTTTGGTTTGTGTGTACAGTGGTTCCTTGTTAGTCTGGATACTTTGGTGTGTGTGTACAGTGGTACCTTGTTAGTCTGGACACTTTGGTTTGTGTGTATAGTGGTACCTTGTTAGTCTGGACACTTTGGTGTGTGTTTGTGTACAGTTGAAACTTGTTTGTCTGGACACTTTGGTGTGTGTGTACAGTGGTACCTTGTTAGTCTGGACACTTTGGTGTGTGTTTGTGTACAGTTGAAACTTGTTTGTCTGGACACTTTGGTGTGTGTGTACAGTGGAAACTTGTTAGTCTGGACATTTTGGTGTGTGTGAGCAGCTTGTGTGTACAGTGGTACCTTGTGAGTCTGGACACTTTGGTTTGTGTGTACAGTGGAAAGTTGTTAGTCAGGACAATTTGGTGTGTGTGTACAGTTGAAACTTGTTAGTCTGGACACTTTGGTTTGTGTGTACAGTGGAAAGTTGTTAGTCTGGACACTTTGGTGTGTGTGTACAGTGGGAAGTTGTTAGTCTGGACACTTTGGTTTGTGTGTACAGTGGTACATTGTTAGTCTGGACACTTTGGTGTGTGTGTACAGTGGAAACTTGTTAGTCTGGACACATTGGTTTGTGTGTCTAGTGGAAACTTGTTAGTCTGGACACTTTGGTTTGTGTGTACAGTGGTACCTTGTTAGTCTGGACACTTTGGTGTGTGTGTACAGTGGAAACTTGTTAGTCTGGACATTTTGGTGTGTGTGAGCAGCTTGTGTGTACAGTGGAACCTTGTTAGTCTGGACACTTTGGTGTGTGTGTACAGTGGAAAGTTGTTAGTCTGGACACTCTGGTGTGTGTGTACAGTTGAAACTTGATAGTCTGGACACTGTGCTGTGTGTGTGTACAGTGGAAACTTGTTAGTCTGGACATTTTGGTGTGTGTGTACAGTGGTACCTTGTTAGTCTGGACACTTTGGTTTGTGTGTACAGTGGTACCTTGCTAGTCTGGACACTTTGGTGTGTGTGTACAGTGGAAAGTTGTTAGTCTGGCCACTTTGGTGTGTGTGTACAGTTGAAACTTGTTAGTCTGGACACTTTGGTTTGTGTGTCCAGTGGAACCTTGTTAGTCTGGACACTTTGGTTTGTGGGTACAGTGGAACCTTGTTAGTCTGGACACTTTGGTTTGTGTGTCCAGTGGAACCTTGTTAGTCTGGACACTTTGGGGTGGGTGTACAGTGGAAAGTTGTTAGTCTGGACGCTTTGGTGTGTGTGTACAGTTGAAACTTGGTAGTCTGGACACTGTGCTGTGTGTGTACAGTGGAAATTTGTTAGTCTGGACACTTTGGTGTGTGTGAGCAGCTTGAGTGTACAGTGGAACCTTGTTAGTCTGGACACTTTGGTTTGTGTGTACAGTGGAACCTTGTTAGTCTGGACACTGTGCTGTGTGTGTACAGTGGAAAGTTGTTAGTCTGGACACTTTGGTGTGGGTGTACAGTGGAAAGTTGTTAGTCTGTACACTTTGGTGTGTGTGTACAGTGGTACCTTGTTAGTCTGGACACTTTGGTTTGTGTGTACAGTGGTACATTGTTAGTCTGGACACTTTGGTGTGTGTGTACAGTTGAAACTTGTTAGTCTGGACACTTTGGTGTGTCTTGTTAGTCTGGACACTTTGGTTTGTGTGTACAGTGGAAACTTGTTAGTCTGGACACTTTGGTTTATGTGTACAGTGGAACCTTATTGGTCTGGACACTTTGGTTTACGTGTACAGTGGAACCTTGTTTGTCTGAAAACTGTGGTTTGCTGTTTAGTGGAACCTTGTTAGTCTGCAAACTGTGGTTTGCGTGTTTAGTGGAACCTTGGTAGTCTGGAAACTGTGGTTTGCGTGTTTAGTGGAACCATTTAGTCCGGTTATTTTTGTTTGCCATGTCTAGACGCATATTTCATTACGCAATGGGAATTCGTTAGCCTTTACAAGGTGTTTTTCTGTTTCGTGAAACCTCGTTAGTGAAGACTATTTGATTTTTGTGTTCAGTGGAATTTCGCTCGTTCGGACACTTTTGTTTCTGAAAGAAAAATAATAAATAGGAGCAAGTATTGTTATAGACGGAAAACTTATTTAGTCACAAAAGAAAACGCCCGGAAGGTACGTTTACCTGATAAACGAGGTTCTACCAGATATATTTTTGGTTTGGTTTGGTTTAGTATTGTTTAACGTCCTATCAACAGCTATGGTCATTTAAGGACGGCCTCCCCTGCTTGCAAGATGAATGCGTGTAGTGTATGCGTGTGTGTTTTGAGGGTGCGATATGTTCTTGTTTGTCTCCTTGTGACAGCCTGGAAACGATGCTGACTTTATAGTGCTACCTCACTGAAACATACTGCCGAAGACACCCAGCAGGACACCCCACCCGTTGGCATTATACTAACAACGGGCGAACCAGTCGTCTAACTCCTACATTGCTAAGCGTAACCTGTCCCCCCTATCAGGTCATTTATCAGTTACTCCAGTAAAAGCTGTGAAGAGGTTTTGCTAGAAAACGGTGTAGTTCAAGAGACCAGAGTGGTGTTCCGGACTACCGTTGACATACTTAATGGTCCAATCAGACGCCCTCTCTACTGTGGCCACATCCTGTTGTTTGTCTATTCCGGTTTGGTCGTTTTCATAGACAAATTAAAATAATTGTGCACAAAAAAAAATAGAAGTACAAAACTTGTATTATACTTTGACATCGTTTCGTAGCAGTTCATGCTATATCTTCATTGTGAGCCACAATACTACTGCATATGTATCAGTCAATTTTAATAACAATATTAACAAAAATATTTAAAGTCACATTTTTTATTTTAATATCACAGTAAACATTTTACATCAAATATACAATTCAATGAAAATATTTCATCCAAAACGTAACAACCCTTGTTAGTATCACAATAACAAGTTAACATCTCTAGTACTATTGTGTAACAACTGGATCTGAACAACCCCAGACAAAATGGCGGGAAACTGGAAAGTGAGCGTCAATATTTCCTCATGATTCGCGAGATGGAAGTCAACAATAAATAAAATAACCGGGAAATCCTGAAAAGATAATGAGGACATATTTGAAAAAAAAATAAAAAAATGTCATTTTCTTTTCCTTTTTTTCATTTGCAAATATTCCCATTGAGAAGCTGTTTTAATGAGTAAATTAAACACGAATTGTTCACGAAATGCATCTCCGAACCGGAAGTGAGGAGAGATAACTCCAGCCCACAATAATTTCATATCTACCGAACAAGTTTTTGTTTCTGTTAATGAGACGCATATTTGTTTGCCTATAATGTATTTATCGCCATTTTGTCATTGGAGTTGTGTGCCAGTTATTCACAACATTTAAATACTATGAATATTTACAATATATAAAGCTATGGGTATACCGTAAAAAAATATAAATCTGTTCCGAGTAAAGTATATGTTCAATCGGCTATAAAAACTTTTGATTCTAAGCAATGCCAATTCCTTACACAATATGTTCTTTCAAACATTCACAAGTCGATCATTAATTGTACAACCACATCTATCAGAACTTCTTATCCTTTGTCAAGAATAGTGACGAGATAAATATAAATATCAACCATAATATTCACATTGGTTTTTTGAAAAGTCCATCAAAATCCCATCATGGTTCATAACGTGTCTGAAAGTATAATTTTTAATTATATATTTTTTTAAATTTCATTCTCTAAAATTAATCTACAACACCTTAAAATGAACGTGTGGCGCCAATGGAGGCTCCTTGTAATAATGATTGTTAAACCGCAAGACACGTGTTCTCTCGTTTTATCAATTTCGCTTGCTATACAGACAACGCTTAAAGCTCGCTCACCACTCCCTCACATCGCATAATCATTTTCTCCCCTGTTCTGCGGTTTCCAAAAGATTCAAACGCCATAAACATATGTACATGATTTCAAAAGAGCTTTTGAATAGGAATGGCACATATTATGATATTCTTAACGGCGAGTCTACCAACAGACGATCGATAGGCTGATAGTTTTACTTCGTTTGTACGGAAACAGGATGTATTCTGTCTGATAAGAACGGTCACATGTAATTTTTGCAATTTGATTGAAAGCACATGCAAATCACGAAATTCAAATATGTCGTTCGTCTGTTCTTACAGCAGATATCCGAAACTTGCTGTTGATGAGCTTTTAATTTAGAAAAGTTTTGCATTTTTTGAACACGATGAACCACATGTCAAAGTATTTGTTGACTTAAAGAGAGGGTGCATTCTGTACCGAACGAACCTACCGGAAGCTACGTACAGAACATATAATCCGGAAGCACGTGCAACTGATGAATACTGTTATAGACCACACAGACACATACACCCACACATATACCCTTACACAAATCTATAACATTCATGAAATTCTCTGTAAAAACATAACAAATTTATTTTCTGTCACACTGTCGTAGATTTTGGTCATGTGACTAATTGACACATACACACTACTTCCGCTCTCAAGGTACATCATAGGGTCTTGGACGGTACTTCCGCCCGACTTGATTGGCGACAGTTCTTTGTTTTCACAAACATCCATCTTGGGCCGTCCGTCAACTTTGATGCAGTGGATAAAACGGATGGTACCGGACTCGTTGTCAGTAATCGGGCGATGGTCAAGACTCAATGTCGACTGGACAAAGTAGAAGCCAGTGACGTTGACCCGGAAGTAACCATTGTGGTACTCGATCCCCGTTAGGTGGCGCTCATCTGGGTACGTCCACATCACCGTATTTCCTTGACCTGAAAACAGAAACGAACAACATGAGTATTTATGTGAGGTCATCTTAAATAAAACGTACATTTATATACAAACGATGTCGTAAAAACCTATAACTAATTCGAAAAGACAAATTTAATGCATGCTGCATTTTTTTTTTATTAAGTTTCAGCTTCGATGTTGAAAACCGAGCTCATGTGAACTCTAAAATATTCAAACCCCACTGCCAAGAACAGTTGATTTTGTTTTTCACTCTCGTGGTATTATTCATTTTGTATAAAAATACCAACACTTACTTGATAAAAAGGAAGGATCAATTTCCATTTTAATGCCCAAGGTCGGTACCTCTGGGATTGGTCCCTTCGTCCTGGGAGGGGCGGGCGTCGGGTAATGAAGAGTGTCTTGATATTTTACAGGAGGTCTCTGCAATGTACAAGAAACGGAAATGATGTCACTATTTCAAATTGTCACAAATACTAACAAATAATGAACGCAAGAAAGCAGAAAAAGCTGTTAAATCTGCGATGTGAAGGTGTCTCGGTAAACGTTTTTTGTTGTGGTTTTAGGATGACAGCGGGTGATTTACTTGAGAATACGGTCTACGGGGTCTTCGGGTGTAGTTTGGGTTTACACTTTACAGGGGGCGAAATTGGAAAGTACGGTGAGGGTAGAATAAGGTAGTGGAGGCGAGGGCAGGGGAGGCGAGGGCAGGGTAAAGTTAGGTAGTGGAGGTAGGGGAGGGGAGGCGAGGGCAGGGTAAAGTTAGGTAGTGGAGGTAGGGGGAGGCGAGGGCAGGGTAGACTATAGAGTTAGGTAGTGGAGGTAAGGGGAGGTGAGGGCAGGGTAGAGTGAGGTAGGGGAGGTACATGTAGGATCGTGGGTAAAGTTAGGTAGTAGAGGTAGGGGGTTGGGTAGAGTTAAGGGAGGCGATGGCAAGGTAGAGTTAGGTAGTGGAGGGAGGGGAGGCGAGGGCAGGGTAGAGTTAGGTAGTGGGGGTAGGGGGGCGAGGGCAGGGTAGAGTTAGGTAGTGGAGGGAGGGGAGTGGGTAGAGTTAAGGGAGGCGATGGCAAGGTAGAGTTAGGTAGGGGAGGTAGGGGAGGCGAGGGCAGGGTAGAGTTAGGTAGTGGAGGGAGGGGAGGCGAGGGCAGGGTAGAGTTAGGTAGTGGGGGTAGGGGAGGCGAGGGCAGGGTAGAGTGAGGTAGGGGAGGTAGGGGAGGCGAGGGCAGGGTAGAGTTAGGTAGTGGAGGTAGGGGGGCGAGGGCAGGGTAGAGTTAGGTAGTGGAGGTAGGGGAGGCGAGGGCAGGGTAGAGTTAGGTAGTACCGAGTGTACAAAAGTACTATTTCCTCATATCTGATCAGACTTGAAACATTCAATCTTGCATGGGTTCTCTAGATATCTTTTTATTTTACAACAGCCCAAACAAAACCGTTGGTTTTCCACGGTATGGGTTTTCATGGTAGATCCCCTTTTAAAATCTCATCACACCTGTCTGTAGAGCTCATGTCTCTATAAATACCTATACCTGGAAAGTTTACCTGTAATAAGCATATTAACTCTGTCAATCTATCTTTAACGTCGAGTTGTAATGCACAGCAAACATTGTGCAGTGTTCGTCATGGTCAAGGTCGTGTTTTTTGATGGGTCGCTGTCAGACGTTTTTCCAAATAGTTCAGTGACGTCAGTAAGCCGGGTGGAAAAACCCAGAGACCGGGTGACAGGTAAGTAGGTTATCGGTCTACACCGACAAATCGTGACACTGGCTTTAGTATCATTTACACGGTTCTGTGAACAAGCCAAGTCCGATACTAAACTAAAACACCAATAACAACTTGATCGCATACTTTTTACCCCGAACGGGAACTACAGCGAGTCTTACATAGACAAAACTAAACGATGTAAGATGTCCGCGTGTTTCGTGTCAACCTTAAATGTTGAAAAAATACTGTCAAAACGAAATGAATGACCATTGATATGAAATAAACTTCTGTATATACCTAAACAAACCTATATATTATCATTGTCTGGAAAACAAATAACCACAGAGGAAACCGAAACATTATTCATGTGTCTGACGATATGGCTACAAACACTGGGACATAAGAATTGTGACACAGAAGGTGTATTCGGGCCTTGTCAAATCACAGGGACCTGCGATTTAAGACACATTATATTATATTCAGGCCGTAGCCATATCACAGGGACCCGAGAGTTAAGACAGTGTATTATATTCGGGCCGTTGCCGAATCACAGGGACCCGGGAATTAAGACAGAGTATTATATTCAGGCCGTAGTCTATCTTGGTGTGTACGAGGTATTATCGGACTTTTTAGAAGTTTACACCAGCTCGGGTAAAAATGTCTTCCTCAATAATGATCTAGTATCATACTGTTGACTGTAAATTACTCCTTCCATATTGGTTTTGTATTGGCCTCTCCCTCTGCCCTCCGTAGCTCGAAGCGAAGTCCTCTAATTTTATATATGTACCCTAAAACGTCTAATAATGTCCCCTGCATATACACCAGAAGAGGGTCTCGCATGCATGTCAATTAATTCTATGTCTTTATTCTCGGGCCCCTGTGGTTGACGTTTACATGTTATATGATCCACACTAAACGGGACTCAATTCAGACACGACAAACATATCACATTTATCCTCAAACAGTAGTTAAGACCTCATTATGAATTCAAATGGCCGGGGTAAAGTTAACCTTACCACATCCGTAAGCAAATATATGTACAAAACGACAGGTATGCGTACAGGTGGGTACCTATAGGTATGACTCACTACGACACGACATGGATCGGGGGAACTCGCTCAAAATAACTTCCGACAGTCTCACGAAATGATCCGGATACAAAAATACATATATCTAAAAAGTTATATTTAAATCGCAAAGCAAAAAATGTCCCAAGACTAAAAAATAAAGTAAAAACTGCCGAGTAAGGGAAATATTTTCGATGGAATAAATCATGTACGCAAACAGTAATGGTTGTACATGGTGTTAGTCTGAAGGTTTATCTTTAATTAATGTCTGTTGTGTTGCAGTGTACAGGTGGTGTTTGGCTTTCAGTCCGCGATAGACACCACTTGTACGAGATTACATGTAATATTATCTCGCGCCGCATTCCAACGCCAGGATTTCGTCAGAGTTATACATGGCCGGGGAAATTAAACTGAGAAGGTGGTCCAATGGAATACCTTCTATGTAAGGTGTTCAGCGGTTTACCGTGGTAGTAGGGGGGTGTTGAACAGTCTCTGATTTTGGGGGCAGGAGGGAGGGTAAAGGAACACGAGGTCTGGGTAGGAGGGAAAGGCAGTGGGGAGGCAAGATCGGCGAGACAAAGAAAGTCTGACGAAATATTTCAATACATTTCCAATGTAACAGAATATTTACAGCAAATAACCGAAAAGAGGTTAACACCGAAACAACTCCAGTTTAAACGTTTAAACGTTTGTAACAAAAAGATAATAACAATTCCCAGTTACATATAATATATCAGCGGTGTTTTTCCGCTTTGGGCAAATTCCCGCCATTGTTACAGAAATTAGAACTTAATGGTGGTAAACTGAACAATCAAGAAGATTAACATTGGGAAATAATGCATTAATAAACTTACCGTGATTTCATTAAAATCGTCAATGTGGTGCGACTTGTGGTCTTTGTTGGGCACATGCCCGGCATGCTCCTCATTACGATCTGATAAGTTCATTTTGTCTAGCAGAAGCCATGCAAATAGTCCCATCCATATTACTTGGATTACCAGTATTGCAACAATAAAACATGTCAAAGGTGAGCAACATCTTTTGGAAGATTTCCGACACACGTGCTGTTTATGGTTCTGTGGAGCGCGGGTTTCAATAGAGACTGGACACTGGTTGTTATTATGTGAACGCGTTTGTATATTATTATGTCCATACCGTTCCTGTCCAGTGACCGTCTGGACGTTCGGATGTTCAGCGTAATTCACTTGTTGGTGTCCATATTGCATGTTTCTTTGGTTTTCTTTTTCACACTGACTGAGATCTACGTACGAGTCCATCTTGTTGCCGCCCTGCGAAGGCACGTACGAGGCGGCGTATTCGTTCATGTGTTCGTTCGGCCTTTGCCCATGTTTCTGTGGGTGTTCATATTCAAAGTGACCAACGAACATTTGACCGTTCTCCGCTGGTTTCAGGAGAACGTGTGCACTGTCCACCACCGGGCTCATGCAGCCGTTGTCCAGATCATTCGTGTTTTTCAACGAAACTTGAAGTTTCTTGAAATTTTTCTCCTGAATTGAAGTTTTCTTCTGTGACCCTGCCTGTAAATTAAGTTCCTTGCTACCACAATCTTCCGCTAAAGTACTCGTCGGCATCTTGACAATTTTGTTCAACTTCGTTTAAATGTACAGCTCACTTCTTTATAATACTCTTACTAACATGACACCATGTACATTTCAGCGCGATAGTAAATGACGACCAACACAGTGTAAGCACTACGCGAATTGTGAATGGGCTACGCCGAGGTGTATAGGATAGTGGCTAGTCGAGGAATTTCCACGTAGGCGTCATGTCTAATAATAGCGCCCAATGGAAAACCAGATAATCGAGGGGGTTCCCCTGAAAGGAAAAAAACCTACAAGGCATGTTCTAGCATGTGTGTGACTACCGGTACAACTGGGCAACGATCTGATTAGCATACTATATACATAACAATCTAGGGGACTAAAGTATATATCAAATAATATATCATTTAACATAACTAGGTCATTAAGTGTGTATGGCCGCGATGGCAAAACTGTTTATGAATTCATTGTAATACGTATATCGATAATACAGTATATATAGCTTGCATGTCGGTAGAGAACAGCTTGTGTGTATACAAATAAAAAGGTAAATATCGAAGGGGGAGTCCCGGCCATATCCACACCTTACCCTGTTCACCTTGAATCATTGCCAGGTGTTCTTTATGTATTTAACCCATTTTGACAAACATTTTATGGAAACTTCGATCGCTATGAAATGTTCAAGCCCCGTAGTTCACGTGTGACCAGGTGATACTATAGATCAGGCCGCATGAATAAATAATAATTTTCATCAGACACCTACAGAGTATTTTGTTGCCCTTTGAGACAGGTATTTATTAACTGACATGGAAATACACAGGTATATATTATGTAAATAGAACGGAAGGAAATGAAAAAGACTGAATAAGTTGAAAGGAACGTTAGATTCCACACCTGCCCCTTGAGAAAACCATTACATAGATTACATCAGCTTTATAAATAAACCATACATATTTTATAGACATACACCTTTTATTAGATATGCATGCTTACATGTGGTAGCTTTGCACTTTACGGGAAAGAATAAAGACAATTCTAAAAATTAAGTAACGCTCGCCTGCTTTTACAATATAATTAATTAAAACCAAATGGAACTGAAATTAAGGAAGATTAAAAGTAATTCAATGTTATACATAAGCTTAAGAAATGCTTAAAGGTGGGTAATAAAAAGTATCAGATTAAACCAGAGAATGCTTCATTTGTAATCAGGATGAAAATTAATGTGCAGAAATGAGCTCCAAATAATGACCCATATCATCATCGGAATGTGTATCACGTGACCGTGGAAACTCCACGATTTGGGATGGGTTCGTCCTTATCAGCATTACTGTTTGAGAAATGCTGTAGGATGCAGAGTCAGTATTATCTGATTATCAGCAAGTTTTCAAATACAAAATCGATTGATATGATAATTTGATAATGTGATTATTAATATATTGCAATTATTTGTTGTATTTAATAAGATCTAGATTCACCATTAACGTACGATGTCCGCTGATGTTGGGGGGCACGCGTGATCAAGGGTCACTATAAATCATAACCGCACTGACACTATTATATACGATAACCAGAGAAACCTTCCGAACTGGGATTGACGACAGGATACACACTATCGAAATACATACTTTTTATTGTAAAATCAGAAGTTGTTACAACAATCGAGTTTAAGAAATGTTTTTTATTTTAATGGTTTTACGTCCGCTTCGATTCACTACTGAGTAGTTTGGTTATCCAGCAGACGAAGAAAAGGTTGGAAAATGAGTTAGAAGGGATAACGTATGAAGTGAAGGGAGAGAAAAGAATGATAGAGGAGAGAAAAAAATGTATTCATATATGCATACAAATATTATAGTTATGATAAAAAAAGATGAGCAGAGAGTTAAAATATCGAGATAAAAATGTTGTAATTATCTCTATTTTTGAAATATAGAGATAAAGAAGATATGCGTACGTTTTTTTAAAACATGAAAAATTTAGCGAAAATTTGAGAATATTTTCCCTTTCATCAATATTTTGCTGTAGAGATAATATAGAGCTTATCGCGGTTACACGTGACGCTGAACGTGTGAGTGGGTGGGGATAGGACGAGCTGGTTTGTGGTAAGTCCGAGGTCAGACTATCAGAACATGTTAAGTGTCTAACTGATATTAAAACACGATAGGATGTAAACTATCACTTAATTATATCTACATAATGTGGGGGGCGTACGTCTGCGACGGATTGTTTTCAGACCCCCGATATTTTGACGAGGCTGCTGCTCGGGTACTTCAGCTGTGTCTGCTATCATTCATAATAGGGCATGGCGGTTCAGTGTTTTAAAAACAAGTTATATTACTGAGATATGGAAGACAAGATATGTACATTTTACACGTATATCTGTTTTAAATTCGTGCCCGGAAGCAAACCTGGCTCCCGTTGATGGTTACAATCGTCGCTGGTCGTGTCACTCATGAATTTTTAATGTTGTCAGATGACGAGGTTGGTATCACAGTCAGTGCAACACCGTGTCTGCTTAAAAGCTGTGTTTACCCGGATTTGTATTTGGAAACTTTTTGCATCAGCTTATATACATAATATTTTTACAAATTTGGAAATTTTCTGCTTATATTAATGGATGTTTTCAGATCTGGTAACCATGCGTGTAGCTGTCTATACTCGGGTTCGCAGATGAATCCACCAGACTTGTTGCACCTCCTTGTTCTCCTACCAAGGCCCTGCCCTGGATCCGCTCCTAAAATGAGGCCATTCCGAATAAGGGCTATCGAATCTGTTTAATTTAACTTTATATATGTAGTGCTTTGATTAGTAGTTCGTGAAACAACGATATCACTGGTTTGAATTTATTTTTTATTTTTTTATTGAGCTTGGGAAGTCACGCTCAAATTGAAGCTGTTTACAAAGTGAATGATATGGAACGAGAACGATTTAAAATCTCTATAAATAACTTATATTAGTGTTTAATCATCACCTGTCACACCGTGTTTGACGATGTGTAGGTTATCTTCGTAACATTTATAGAGGAGAAGACGAGGTGTAGACGCTATGGAAGTTTATTTACCCTATCATACAGATGTTTGTATCCTCTTCTAGGTCACACAGAAAAAACCCAGAATTTATCGTTTTTAAATTGCTTATCTATGGTAAGCGCAAAACGCTGGTTTATCCGTTGTAGGTATACTGTGAGCGGATGGACTACTGTGCTGGCTTCCTTCAGCATGGTATTTCCGTGAAGTAGTACTCTAATCAGACTCGAACTACCCCAATGATACAATACGCAGGAGGCTCATCCTAATGACCTTAGCTGTTAATAAGACTCTAAAGCTTTGTTCGGTGTTGTTTCAATTTTTAGACATTGGTGTCTTTATCAGATTAACTGACCTGCTGGGATTTCATCAAAATAATGTGACCTGCTTAGTTTCATCGGAATAATTTGACCTGCTAAGTTTCATCAGAATAATGTGACCTGCTTAGTTTAATCAGAATAATGTGACCTGCTGAGTTTCATCAGAATAATTTGACCTGCTTAGTTTCATCAGAATAATGTGACCTGCTTAGTTTCATCAGAATAACTTGACCTGCTTAGTTTCATCAGAAAAACCTGACCTGATTAGTTTCATCAGAATAACTTGACCTGATTAGTTTCATCAGAATAACTTGACCTGCTTAGTTTCATCAGAATAACTTGACCTGATTAGTTTCATCAGAATAACTTGACCTGATTAGTTTCATCAGAATAACTTGACCTGATTAGTTTCATCAGAATAACTTGACCTGATTAGTTTCATCAGAATAACTTGACCTGATTAGTTTCATCAGAATAACTTGACCTGATTAGTTTCATCAGAATAACTTGACCTGATTAGTTTCATCAGAATAACTTGACCTGATTAGTTTCATCAGAATAACTTGACCTGATTAGTTTCATCAGAATAACTTGACCTGATTAGTTTCATCAGAATAACTTGACCTGATTAGTTTCATCAGAATAACTTGACCTGGTTAGTTTCATCAGAATAACTTGACCTGGTTAGTTTCATCAGAATAGTGTGACCTGCTTAGTTTCATCAGAATAGTGTGACCTGCTGTGTTTCTTTGTTCCGTGACCAGGCTATGATATTTCAGTGAGATGACGCTTTAAATGGCTCCGTAATCTTCAGACATCGTTTTCTAATTTGTCGCTGGCTGCCGCGAAGACGTAAAACTGTATCCGCTGCTTTGACGTTACTTCTTACGTCATACATGTTTACGTCATGCAATGTTTTACTTTTTCTCATTTATGTAAAAACACTTAAATATGAGATATTGTTACATTTTTACTCTTTGGTACCATTTCTTTTGGGGTTGGGGGTTGGGGGTTGGGNGAAAATTCATAAATTAATCACAAATCTTCACTAAGTGTGTAAAATGGCTTGTGCCCTTATAAGGTTATGCGTAATTAAGGATACAAGTATATGGGCGACATATACGGAGATATGCAAAACAATACACTTAATACAGGAAACGCTTTTAACTACTCGCCACCACCAAATATACACCACATACTTCGATATAATAGTCCCATACACAGCCTATTCTATATATAAAAGGCAATAAACCTGCTGTGTGTCAAAATATGTTGTTTGTTCATTTACAAGTGCTGTTTTTCAACATGAAACAATGTCAACCATTGGGAGAGTCTGTAAAGGAACGCCAAACCAATCTATTTTCGTATTATTTCAAAAAGCAATAAACAAGCATTTCTGTCAAAACAAATTTGTTTATTCATATTTTTTGTCAATTTTTCAACTTAAAAGGATGTCGACAAAAAGGAAGTAGATCTTTAAACGTTTTTGTACAGTGACGTAAACATAGGTACAACGCTACATCAAACTTGTGTTATTTAGGTACCTTTTAAAACCCGAATTCTACTGATGACTATCTCGAGTCGCTACTGTTGTTGACATGTTACAACCGGACAGTTAGATCTTTCACCAAAGTATTCGCTCTTTTCCAAACATGATGTGGGACCCCCTGTAGAACCGTTTTTTTTTAAATTTCTCTGTGCCTTCTGCTCAGGAAACATTGAATAAACCCAAACAGACTTGCTACCCGATTTTAATATCTTGGACCTTGATTCTATGTTACATTTTTAGTAAACTGTGGTTCTCCCAAAGGCACCCGTCTTCATAGGA